AGGTCCCCCTGGAATAGGAGTTACATTAGTTGCCACATGGGTGCTAGGAATCGAATTTGGGTCCTCTGCAAGAGCAGCCAGTGCTCTTAACTAGCCCCTAAATAAATATGATCTTGCTTATATAACATGCCTTAGGAAATACTAATTGAAATCACAGTTTCTACATCTATAAAGAAAATAGATCATTGCTGGGCATGGTAAGGCTTGACTTTAATCCCAGCACTCGGAAGGCAGGAGCAAGAGGATTCTGTGAGTTCAAAGCCAGCCTGGTCTACATAGTGAGTTCCAGGACAGCTAGGACTACAGGGAGACCCTGTCTTAAAAAGACCAAAAAAAAAAAAAGCATTTGCTACATTAAGGCTTGCTTACCTTGTTTAACAGACCCTGATTATATCTAATCTCTAGAGAGTTATCTCCCAGACATTTATAGCTAGCACAATTCTTGACCCCTTTTACTTACTTTTCAGGTTTGGGATTTTTTGTTGTTGTTGTTGTTTATTTCAGAGTATTTTGTTTTGTTTTGTTCGAGGAAAGGGCTCATGTATCCCAGGTTGGATTCTAACTATGTAGCCAAAGATGACAAACTTCTGATTCTCCTGTCTCCACCTCCTAAGTACTAGGAATACAAATGTACTGCCACACCAGGTTTATACAGTGCTGGGGAGCCAATCCAGAGCTTTGTGCATGCTAGATAAGGACTCTACCAACTAACATAGATGCCACAGCCCTCACTTAGTCACTTTTAGAACTATAACTCATATATCACTTCTATAAGAATGTTACATTTTATTGCTTTGAAACTGGTTGTTGTATGTGATCTTATTAACCTAAAAGCTCTCCTGAAGCTGGGTGCTATATACAAAAACATTAATAACAAATTATACTTCAGATTTTTCAGATATTTTAACAGCTAGAAGCAGGTGTGACATTGGAGTACATTCCAATAAGCAGCAGAAAGCAGAAAGAAGATATTAACACTTATTAGTAAATGTGCAACCAAACATAAATATCCAACTGGAAACTTGGGACAGTAGAATAAAAGAACTAGGAGGTAAGTAAAACCTCAGCAACGAAAAGCATCAAAGAAAATAAAAGGCAGATTCCTAGGAGAAATTAACTCTTTCCTTGAGTCATCCTATAGATATCAAAATCAGAAGACTGTTTCAAGCACCTTATACAAAATGCCGTATATTTACATATAACCCAAATACATTCTTCAATATACTTTAAATAATCTCTAGATCACTTATAATATCTACTATAATGTAAACACTATGGAAATAATAGTTGTGTGCTTTGTAGAATGAAGAAAAGAAAAAAAAATGCCTATACATTTCAGCACAGATGAAACAACCAAAAGCCTACCTACACAGAACAAATGGTCAAACAGGAGCTGAGCGTGTCTATAAATCAACACTTAACTCAAGTGGATTCAGGGTAGTGCTTGGTACGCAGCAAATTCAAGTTTAGCTCTTGGAAGTTTCTGGAATTTTTAAAGATATTTTTAGTCCTCAGTTCAATCAGCAGGATTCACAAATTATGAATTCAGAAAGTCAACTATAACAAGAATCAAATCTTAAAGATGCAATTTAAAAAAAAAACTTTTTATTTATTATTTTTATTTTATGTGTATGCATGTATTGCCTACATGGAGGTAAGTGCACCCGTGTCGTGCAAAGCCCACAGAGGTCAGAAGAGGCTGTTGGATCCCCTGGGACTAGAGTTACAGACAGTTGTTAGCTTCCATGTGGGTGCTGGGATTCGAACCCACGTCTTCTGCAAGAACAGTCAATGTTCTTAACCGTTGAGCCATCTCTCCAGCTCTACACTATATCCAACCAGTGTTCTTAACCGCTGAGCCATCTCTCCAGCTCCTTATTTATTATTTTTATTTTATGTATATGCATATATTGTCTGCATATAGGTAAGTGCACCCGTGTCATGCAATGCCCAAGGAGGACAGAAGAGGCTGTTAGATTCCCTGGAACTTAAGTTACAGACAGTTGTTAGCTGCCATATGGGTTCTGGGATTTGAGCCCAGGTCCTCTGCAAGAGCAGTCAGTGCTCTTAACCGCTGAGCCATCTCTCCAGGCCCAAGAAGTAATTATTTTTTAATAATAAAAGACAAGTACTCAATTCTTTAAATAGGAAAAGAATGCAAACAGACATTTCTTCAAAAAAGATATGTAACATCCAATATGCATGTGAAAAGATGATCAACATCTTTAGTTATTTAGGGAGATGATCATCAAAGCCTCAAAATAGCACTTTGTGATCATTTGGATGATTAAAGTAAAAATGCTTGCTACAAATAAGAATGTAGAGAGACCAAAATTCTTCATGTAATTAAACAGTTACCATAATAATCAGCACTCTGGGGGCTGGAGAGATGGCTCAGCAGTTAAGAACACTGACAGCTCTTGCAAAGGACCCGTGTTCGATTCCCAGCACCCACATGGCGGCTACAAACCGTCCTTAACTCCAGTTCCAGAGAAATCCAAAGCCCTCTTTTGACCTCCACGGCATTGCATGACACAGGTGCACTCACATACATGTAGGCAATACACTCATACACATAAAGTAAAAATAATTTTTAAAAAAATCAGCAATCAATGTCTAAATATATACCTAAGACAAATGAGAACATTTGTCCACATGAAAATTTGTACATCAGTTTCACAGAAGCATTACTCATAATAGTCAAAAGGCACAAGGAACACAAATATCTATCAACTGATCAATACATGAAACGGAATATATCTATCTATAAAAGACTATTATGGAGCAATAAAAATGAAATACTTATAAAGCCATACAAATGGACCTTAAAAATATTATTCTAGCTGGGTGTGGTGGCCTTTGATCTCGGCACTTGGTAAACAGAGGCAGGCAGATTTCTGTGAGTTCAGGCTAGCCTGGTCTACCTAGTGAGTTCCAGGTCAGCTGGTGCTACAGGGAGACCCTGTCTCAAAAAAGACCAAAAAAAATATGTATTATTCTAAGTGAATATAAGACACCTATCAATTTATGAGAATAATAAAAAAATTAAAACTGAATGTACAGAATAGACAAAACTGCAGTTGTTGAAAACGCATTTGTGGTTACTCAGGACTGGAGAATGAGAGGATGAGGAGGCTACAGCAAAAGGCTGCAGAGTTTCTTTCTAAAGCGATGAAAATGTTCTAGAATTGACTACAATAACAGTTGCATATATCTGTGAAATACACTGTAAATGGCTAAACAGTAACTATATTGAGAATCATATATCAATAAGCTGTATTTTTTTTAAAGTAATTCAGGCCAGACATGATGGCACATGCCTTTAGTCCCAGCAGTCAGGAGGCAGAGGCAGGTGGATCTCTGTGAGTTCAGGGCCAGCCTGGTCTACCTAGTGAGCTCCAGGACAGCTGGGGCTACAGGGAGACCCAATCTCAAAAACAAATAAGCAACAACAAAAAAACATAATTCAGAAATATAACAAGCACTTCACTTCCAAGAGTTCTGAATTCATAAATTCAACAAACTATAAATCAAAAATATTTACAGAGCCAGGCTTGATGGCCCACACCTTTAATCCCAACACCTGGGAGGTGGAGGCAGAGGCAGGTGTATCACTGTGAGTTTGAGACCAGCCAGGACTGCAAAGTAAGACCCTGTTTCAAATACAAACATACATACATATATATATATATATATTTAATAATAAACAGTAACTATAGTATATATATATAATCTTTTATTAATTTTTTTAAAAAGATAAGCCCAGAGACATCACTGAGTCTGTCTCCTGGCATTTTATGTACAAGTCCATCTTAAAATAATTCAATTTTCACTTGCTTAAGAGTCTGTGAAATCATCTAGAGAAGGAGGTTGGGGAGGTTGTCATCACAAGGCCAACCTTGCTAGGAAAAGGCCCTTGTTCCATGCTCGGATGGCAGGTCATTTCCCTACCTTTACAACTTGTCTTGGTCAACATTTCATCTCTTGTGACCATTACAACTCTATATGTGCTCACCTCTGAAACCTGTCATTACAGGGAAGGTCAATCTTGTCTACAGAGCTTCTGCACCATGGACTATCTGAAAGCACTGGAGGAACTAAGATATGCTGTATCTTTGAATCCAAATCCACTGTTGTATAGCCACTTCAGGGCTTCAGCTCATGGTTTTGCTAATAAATGCTCTCATTATATTCAGCCCACCTATCAGCCACTCTACCTCCTCACAGAAGGAAAAGGCCAATAAATGACCAACGATTTCATCTCCTAGTCTTTTATGCTCAGAAAATCCTCTGATCCAGGCTGAAGAACTGACTCAGCAGTTAAGAGCTATTTATTTATTTACTTTTATGTTTTCTTTTTTTAATATTTTATTTATTATTTTATGTGTATGAGTATATTGCCTGCATGTATGTGAGTACACCCATGTCGTGCATTGCCGTGGAGGTCAAAAGAGGCTTCGGATTCCCCTGGAACTGGAGTTAAGGACGGTTCATAGCCTCCATGTGAGTGCTGGGAATCGAACCTGGGTCCTCTGCAAGAGCAGTTAGTGCTCTTAACTGCTGAGCCATCTCTCCAGCCCCTATTTACTTATTTTTATTATTATTTTATTGTGTGTGTGTGTGTGTGTGTGCACACGCGTGCACATGGGCACCATGACATTCATATGAAGGTTAGAGAACAACTTGCAGGAATCTGATCTCTCCTACCATGTCGTTTCTGGGGACTGAACTTAAGTCATCAGACTCAAGACATCAGATTCAGCAGCAAATGCTTTTCCCCACTGAGCCATCTCTCCAACCTTCAATCATTTTCTTGATACTCACTAATCAGTAACTGCTACAAGGGAGAAAATTGGGATATACTCAGTTAAAATTTAAATCTTATTTAGTTTCAGAAATTATCAGAATCCTAAAAATGATAATATCATATGTCAATGATAAGCGAGCATCAAGGATTTATTTCCAGAGGAATCCAACATCTTTACTGAGTAAACACTTACCAAGCCAGCAGTAAGAGAAGGTGCAGACTGTCCAAGGGACTGGTTTCTCATTCGAACCAGGTTTGACGCTTCTCCTGAAGACTGCCAAGTTACCTGTCCTGCACTGTTGTGTATACTGCTGGACAAAGGGAGCAGCTGTTTACCTTCAAAAACAAGAACAGAAAACATTCATGTAATTATCTGTTGACAAATGCCTGAAAAAAAGGCAATATCAAGTGCATAAAACCCTAACCCATAAAAACTAGGTCAAGCTCTTCCTTGTGCTCAATCCAGGTTTACTCACTACTGCTTTAATCTCACTGAAATGTAAATGTGAGTCAAGCCGGACAAAGTGATACAGTAGCAAGAGTGCCTTAGGAGACACAGCCAGCGAGTACCAAGCAAGCCAGGACTACACAGCAAGACCCTATCTCAGAAAAAAGTCCATCAGATACACAAATGTCAGCCTATGAAGACTGTCTAGAATTGCAGTAACTTCAAGAATTGAGGGGCTAGGGGTTGGAGAGATAGCTACTAGCCCCATTTTTTCCCTTTCTTCACAAAATTCTTCATAATGCTGCTGACCAAAAATCAATGTGGTTGTGTCACTTCCTTCCTTAAAAGGAACTCTGATGATGATGGGGCTGGAGATATGGCTCAGTGGTTAAGAGCACTGGCTGCTCTTGCAGAAGAACCAGGTTCAAATCCCAGCACTCACATGGTGGCCAGCAACCATCCCTAACTCCAATTCCAAGGGATCAGACACCCTCTCCTGCATTCCATGGGCATCGCATGACACATAACACTAATACACATAAAATAAAAATAAATGGGAAAAAAAAAGAACTGATGACGTCCACAATGTTCAGAGAAATCAAATACAAAAAAAAAAAAACTCATAAATTCAGAGTATCTTCCTGGTCTCATCTCCTGTTTTTTCACACTTTTCATTCATTCAACTTCACTTGGCTTGATAATGATTACTCAATTCACTTGAAAACTCTTCCTGTACCTGGAAAAATCTTAGTTATTAAGAGTTTTCTTGGTTTTGTTGCAAACAAAATATGGTAAAATTCATTTCAACAGCAATCTGGCAAAACCAAACAAAGAAAATTAAGATTCGGGAGAAAGCAAGATTAAGAATGACCACACAGCTAGGTGTGGTGGCACACACATTTAATCCCAACACAGGCAGAGGCAGGTAGATCTCTGTGAATTCAAGGCCAGCCTGGTCTACAGAGTGAGTTGTTTCAGGTCAGCTGGGGCTACAGAGAGACCGTCTCAAAAAAAAAAAGAATGATTACACTATGCTAGGAAGGATAGCACACACCTGTAGTTCCAGCACTCAGGAGGATAAAGCAGGAGGACTGAGTGTTTGAGGCCACCCTGGACTTTAGAGTTGGAAGACACCTTAAGCTACATATCAAACCAGCAACAATAACAAAACCACAATTAAAAAAGAATGACTTGCTGGGCATGGTGGTGCATGCCTTTAATCCCAGTGCTTGGGAGGCAGAGGTAGGCAGATCTCAGGTCAGCTTGGACTACAAAGTGAGTTCTAGGCCAGTTGGGGTTACAAGGAGATCCCATCTCAAAACAAAACAAAGTTTTTTTAAAAAAAAACCGGTTGGGGTTACAAGGAGACCCTGTCTCAAAACAAAACAAGACAAAATTATTTAAAAAAAAAAAAAAAAAAAAAAACTTCTGGGGCGGGGGAAATGGCTCAGCGGTTAAGAGCACTAACTGCTCTTCCAGAGTACCCGGGTTCAATTCCCAGCACCCACACGGCGGCTACAAACCGTCCTTAACTCCAGTTCCAGGGGAATCCCAAGCCCTCTCTGACCTCCGCAGCATTGCCCAACACGGATGCACTCACATGCAGGCAATACACTCATACACATAAAATAATAAAAATAATAAAATATTTTTTTAAAAAACTTCCATAACCTCGGGAATACTGTATCAAAAGAGGGGGGGTATAGGGGCTGGTAATGCTAAATAGGCAATATGCTGGGACTGTAATCCCAACACTAACAAGGCCAAGATAGGAATAGGACAAATTCAAGGGCATCCTGAGCTATTTAAGGAGCTCCTGTCTCACCAAATAAAAAAAGGTAGAGGAAGGGCTTGGTGGGGGAGAGAGATTTATATAACTTTAGAAGAAATCCACTGGGCACACACCAGTAAGGGTTTGAAGTATAGCAAATGCTTCCAAGAATTAGAGTAAAATAAGTAACAGAAAATGGAAGGAAAAATATGCCCAAACAGAACTAGCTCTTTAGTAAAACAAATAGAAAACCATGCTCGGGAAATGAGTGAAAGCTGGGAATATAGTTCAGAGGTTCAGTAGGTGGTTGGCATGTTTAAGGCACTGGGTTAGATCTCCTGCACACAACACATACACAAGCACGCACACACACACACACAAAGGAGGAGTATACGGCCTTGATCTTTTGTCCTTCAGGAAACACTATAAAAACAAGAATGAAGTAGTAAAATGAAAGATCATACCAAAAGATTATATCAACACATGGGAGTTAGAGGCAGGTGGATCTTTCTGAGTTCAAGGCCAGCCTGGTCTACATAGTGAATTCCAGACCAGCTGGGGCTACAAGGAGACCCTGTCTCAAAAAGCCTGCCCCCCACCAAAAAAAAAATCATATCAAAGATGGACAGATGCTGACTATGAAGGGACAAGAATATTTTGGGAATAACTAGAGTATAGCTCAGTGATGCAGTACTTAAATACCATGCATGAGGCCCTGGGTTTGATCCATGGGGTGCTCTCATAGTTTTGTAGGATATGCAAACTGCTAAAGGAGAACATCAATCAAAGATCCAACTCCAGCTTTAAGGCCTAATAACCACAACAATGATCAGCACAGGAAACTATATTGGTGTAGTAGTGGCACTTTTATCTTGGGGGTAATCAACAGCTACCTAACTGAACTTAAAGCCCACTCAATGGGAACT